GAGAGTGAGGAATGAGGGAAAAGAAAAGGAGAGGAGGTGGGGGGAGGGAAGGGAGTTGTCTTCGTGGGAGGAAATAAACACACACAAGTTTCATTGTCTCTCCGAGTCCGAATCTGTTTATGTGCGTGCGTGCGTCCGTGTGTGTGTGTCGGTTGTACGAAGTTAGACCGTTCTCTGGGCACACAGCATATATTGTCCGTCTTTTGGTGAGTATGTATGTTGCATCATGTGTGTTTGTTTATGTGTTTTGCACACTCGTATAGAAGCTGTTCTCTACAATTGAAAATGGCTTGCGTACCGTTTATACCCACCCATGTGGGTGGTTTGCGGATGCTCTGGTATCGTTTGCTCCTTTTAAACGTCTTTCGCCCTTATGTCTCCTCCTTTGTTTTTGTGTGTGTTGTTACACCTCTAATCTTCAGTGTTTATATGAACTGATTGTGCTGCAAGTGCCGTAAAAGTCTTACAAAAAATTAACATATGGACTACCTTTTTTGGAAAAATTATTCAATTCTTCATGTTACATCCGAGTATATACATTAGCTTTTTTTCTCCGTCTGTAGCCAAAGATATAGGAGAAAGCTTTATAAGTGGGTGGTTGGCGGGTTCTCTGGTGTGGTTTGCTCCTTCTTTCCTATCAAACATCTATTGTCTTTATCTCCCCTCCTTCTTTTTTTATGTTTGTTCCTCTCTTGTAACGCCTCTACCCTAATCTTCTGGCGCTCATATGACCTTATTGTGTTGCAAGTGCCGTAAAACTCTTACTAACTAAAACCAAAGTAAAGATACAGGAGAAAGCTTTGTACGTAATTAAGCCCTTCTCGATTAACCCTAATAATCCGGTGCCACTCTGTGTGCTTTTGTCTCCCCCCTCCCACAGGCGTCTGAGGTTCGAGCCTTCAAGACGGTCCTGCTGGGCCAGAAGAACTGCGAGGTGTGCCACCCGTCGTCCCGCCACCCCGCAGCCCACGACAGCCCCCACCAGGGTCTGTTCTCGGCTAACCCGCAGCTTATGACCGTCAGTGTCAACGTGCACGGCTCTCTCAAGCTCAGCATCATCATCACTTGGAAGTGAGTACTACACACTCGTATGCACACACACACACACACCCACACACACACACACACACATACATATTGTCAATGTGCATGGTTCTCTCAAGCTCAGCATCATCATCACTTGGAAGTGAGTTATACACATCGCGCATACTCACAAATATACTGTTACTCTTTCATGTACATACACCCAATACACTATACATACACATGTACACACACATGCCCATGCACGCATATTCGCATATACACGTCAATTTTCACGGCTTTTTCAAGCTCAGCATCATCATCACTTGGAAGTGAGTTATACATACATACGTACTCACAGATGTGAACGCACATTCACACCAACACACATTCACACACACACACACACACACACACACACACACACTCACACACACACACACACACACAGCACTTATATAACCTTATTGTGTTTCAAGTGCTGCAAAACTCTTTCTAAAACTAAACTAAACTGACCTTTGTGACCTTACATTTTTCTTTGCGCTTTAAGTACTCTGTACTGTGTGGACGAGTCATTTACTTTAACTCTGTGACCTTTCACCTCTTTCTATCTTAACTATCTATGTGTTTCAGCCCCCTGGACGGTATGGACGAGTCCGTGACCTTCTTTGAGCCGCCGTCCCGCTCCCAGGGCTCCACGCTACGCAGACCTGTGTCTGTTCTCAACGCTAATGGGGGAGTGGTGAGTACATATTGAGACACACACTAGCACATACACATACACACCTGCACACACACTCACGCACAAACACACACTAGTGCCCGCTACGCAGACCTGTGTCTATGCTCAACGCTAATGGAGGGGGGAGGGGGTGTGAATACATACTGGTCGTTGAGACTCACACTGGCTCATGCATGCACATACTCATACAAACACACGCACACACACACTCATGCACGCGCTATACAGACCTGTGTCTCTGCTCAACGCTAATGGGGGAGTGGTGAGTATATTGTGAGACACAAACTGGCACATATACACGCACGCACACACACACACACACACACGCGCGTGCTACGCAGACCTATGTCTGTGCTCAACGCTAATGGGGGAGTGGTGAGTACGTTTTGAGACACACACTGGCCCATGCACATACACCCATTCACAAATGACGATGACCTTACACATGTATGTTTGTGGGTGGTTGGCGGGTGCTCTGGTGTGGTATGCTTCTTCTTTCCTATGAAAAAAAAATCTGTCATCTCTATCTCCCCTCTTTCTTTTTTGTGTTTGTTACTCTCTTGTAACACCTCTAATCTTCGGCAGTTGTATGACCTTATTGTGTTGCAAGTGCCGTAAAACACTTACTAAAACTAAAAATTTTCCCTATGACGATGACCATACACATGTATGTTTATGCGTGTGTTTTTGTGTGTGTGTGTCGTGTCCCCAGTTCGGCAGCACCTCGGACCTCATGTACGGCCCCGACCGCCGTTTCTCCAGCCCGATGCAGGCCATGAAGCTGCGGGACGACAGCGGGATCTACGGCTCGGCCACCTCGCTGCCCTCCCACATGGCCCACGAGATGAGCCGCTACCCGCACAGCCTGTCCGCCTCGCCCATCATCCACCACGGCCGCGACCCCATGCTGACCCCAGACCTCCACTCGGGCCGCCTCCGGCCCCACAGCGTTATCGCGCCGGACGTGCGCAGCGTCCGCTCCCAGCCCTCCAACCCCACCTCGGGCCTGGTTTCGGCGTCGTCCACCGATTTCTACACGAGCAGCAGCGTGGGCAACCGCCCGCACAGCACGTACATCTCCTCCTCCTCCTCCCCGCTCTCCTCCTCCTCCTCCCCCCTGCACGCGGAAGGAGGCGCGGGGCACTCTACTCACCTGTCCGCCGTCGGCTCGAGCATGGCTGCCACCGCCTCTACCGCTGGGGCGGCAGCCACCTCCTCTTCTTCCTCCTCCTCCTCCTCCATCTTCCTCTCCCAGTCGCAGCTGTCCTCCACCCCGGTCAAGCCCATCGCCGAGGTGTCCCAGGCGCAGGTGCCGGGCGTGCAGGTGCAGGTGCAGGGTGAGCTCATCGGCGTGCAGGACGGTCAGGTTAGTGTGGAGGAGGCTCTGGGCAGTCTGATGACCACGCTGGAAGATTTCCTGGGCCACTACCCGGAGCTGCAGAAGCTGGAGGAGATGTTGCCGGCCATAGAGCACTTTATACGGGTTAGTGGACGAAATATTACCTATATAGAGCACTTATATTACTTATATAGAGTACTATGTACGGGTTAGTGGAGTAAATATTTGATATATAGAACACTTATTTTACATATATAGAGCACTTTATACGGGTTAGTGGATTCAACATTACCTATATAGAGCACTTATATTACATATACAGAGTACTTTATACAGGTTAATGGAGTAATTATTACATATATTGAGCACTTTATATGGGTTACTGGATTCAATATTACATATATAGTGCACTTTATACGGGTTAGTGGATTAAATAATAATATTACATTATTAGAGCACTTCTTACGGGTTAGTGGATTATAGTACATAGATATAGTACATGCATAGAGCACTTTATACGGGTTAGTGGATTATAGTACATAGATATAGTACATGCATAGAGCACTTTTTATGAGTTAGTGGATTAAATATTCGAGCACTTTATACAGGATTTAATATTACATATTATAGAGCTCTTCTTACAGGTTAGTGAATTATAGTACATACATTTAGTACATTCATAGAGCACTTTATACGGGTTGGTGGATTATAGTACGTATATATAGTGCATACATAGAGCACTTATATGACCTTATTGTGTTGCAAGTGCTGTAAAACTCTTACTACAACTTTATAAAAAATATTGAAAAAAGATGACCTATTTGTGTTGTAAGTATCATAAAACTCTTGGCTCTAAAACGAAAAACTGAAGCAAATTTCTCCCAACATTTCGGCAGAAACCATCGGCTACCAGCTCTCGCTCTTCCAGCATGAGTGTGTCGATAGAGGGCGCCATAGAGGAGGCCTTCGACTTCCTCAACACAGAGGACGTGCTCGATGACTTGGAAGAGGAGGAAGAGGATCCTCAACAACAGCAACAGAAAGAAGGAGAGACTTCCTCGAGGTACTAAGCTCTTTTGTGACGACGTTAGTGTCTGTCTGGATACATGTCCAAGGTGTTTGTAATGCTTACTGTGAATGTTTTGCACCGTATATGACCCAATGTACTTGATTACTTCTTTACTTGATCCCAGGAGTTATGTCGTAGCACTCCGGGCATTGCCATACGTGCTCCGCTCCCCGCTCCAATATCCACCTCAGAATCCATCTGCTGATCGTTCCGGTATTCATTTGGTTAATAACCCGTCTTTCCATCCCCTGGACCGTGCTGGTACAATTTAAATCACTTAAGACGCTGGTTGCTTCTACCCTGATTGTTAGGACGACCAACCCAGTGCTCTGATGTGGTTTGCTCCTATTTTCCTTTCAAGCATATATCAATCCGTATCTCTCCATCTTCTTTTCTTTGACTCTTTGTAAGTTACTCTCTAGTAATACCTCTTATATTCGGCCCCTATTGGACATATTTATGTCGCAAATGCTTCAGATTTTGGAACTAAAACTAAGTATGTCAGTGTACTACTCTTTACTCAAACTAAACTAAAATTTCCATGCGACCCCTCCCTCCTGGTGTGATTTGATCCTCCTTTCCTGCCAATCATCTGTCGTTATTATGTCTCTGCCTTTCTTTTTTTTTGTGTGTTTGTCATTCTCTTGTTATTATAGCTATACCTCTCATCTTCGGCGGTTATGTGATGTAATTGTGTTGCAAGTGCCATAAGATTCTTCATAAACTATTACTAAACAATGCTTTTCCAAGTACTTTGAGAGAGATCAAATCTTTTGATTCGTTCAAATGTCAGCTGAAGTCATTTCTGTTTTTAAATTGATAAGATGAATATTTCGAGTGATTTTCTTTTAGTCAGAACACTATGTTTTATGTTACTGTTGTAAACTGTATTGGATTGAAAGCGCTCACAGCCTGTGTACTTTAATCGGGGTTGAGCGCAATATAAATGTCATCTATTATTTATTATTATTATAACTAAACACACACACACCCCTCCCTCCCCTGCACTTCCACTTTCTCTCCATCTAGTGCGGCGAGCAGCGGGCCCGTGTCCCACATTGACCAGCTGGTCCTGAGCCCCGAGTCGACGGCCAAGACGACCGACTCAGGCATCGAGTCCCTGGCCAAGCGTCTGCACGAGGACACGCAGCTGGGCTCCAGCATGGGCTCCAGCCCTGTCCCGCCCTCCACGGGCAACGAGCAGGTGGACCAGGCCCTCGTCTTCCACCTCTCCTACTGTGATAAGCTCCTGGAGGTCAGTCATAGTCTGTTACACCTATTGTGTTTTTGTTGTGAACTCGTGGGTGGGTGGTAGGTGGGTGCTCTCGAGTGGTTTGCTGCTCCGTTTTCCTATCTCTCTCCCTTCTTTTCTTTGTAAGATATTCTCTGGTAGCACCTCTAACCGTATGCACTTATATGCAGGTTGTCGATGTGGTTTGCTCCTTCTTTCCTGTCAAACATCTATCGTCTTTATCTCTCCTCCTTCTTTTTTGTGTTTGTTACTCTCTTGTAACACGTCTATTCTTCGGCGTGGGTGGTTGGCGGGTGCTCTGGTGTGGTTTGCTTCTTCTTTCCTGTCAAACATCTATCGTCCTTATCTCCCCTTCTTCTTTTTTATGTTTGTTACTCTCTTGTAACAGCTCTAATCTTCTGGCGCTCATGTGACCTTTTGCAGTTGCGAGCGCCTTGAAACTTCTACTAGAACTCTATTCTTCGGCTTTTGTTTGACCTTATTGTGTTTAAAGTGCCATAAAACCCTTACTACAACTAGTCTGTTTCACTTACTGTGTTTTTGTTCATGATTCATAGTCTTGTTTCATTTGTGTTTTTCTTGTCTTCCACCTCTCCTACTGTGATAAGCTCCTGGAGGTCAGTCATAGTCTGTTACACCTATTGTGTTTTTGTTGTGAACTCGTGGGTGGGTGGTAGGTGGGTGCTCTCGAGTGGTTTGCTGCTCCGTTTTCCTATCTCTCTCCCTTCTTTTCTTTGTAAGATATTCTCTGGTAGCACCTCTAACCGTATGCACTTATATGCAGGTTGTCGATGTGGTTTGCTCCTTCTTTCCTGTCAAACATCTATCGTCTTTATCTCTCCTCCTTCTTTTTTGTGTTTGTTACTCTCTTGTAACACGTCTATTCTTCGGCGTGGGTGGTTGGCGGGTGCTCTGGTGTGGTTTGCTTCTTCTTTCCTGTCAAACATCTATCGTCCTTATCTCCCCTTCTTCTTTTTTATGTTTGTTACTCTCTTGTAACAGCTCTAATCTTCTGGCGCTCATGTGACCTTTTGCAGTTGCGAGCGCCTTGAAACTTCTACTAGAACTCTATTCTTCGGCTTTTGTTTGACCTTATTGTGTTTAAAGTGCCATAAAACCCTTACTACAACTAGTCTGTTTCACTTACTGTGTTTTTGTTCATGATTCATAGTCTTGTTTCATTTGTGTTTTTCTTGTCTTCCACCTCTCCTACTGTGATAAGCTCCTGGAGGTCAGTCATAGTCTATTTCACTTGTGGGTTGTTTTTGTTTTTTGTTTTTTGTTTTTTTAAAAGGGGGAAGGGGG